CCCCGGGGGGCCTCGGCCCCCAGCCAGTCGGCCATCTGCAGGTACCCGGGGGCCGGCGGCTGCGTCCGTGGGGTCACTGCAGGGCCCTCCTCCGGAGAGGGGAATCGGGGAAAAGGAGGGAAATCAGGGAATGGGAGGAAAAATAGAGAAAGGGAGGAAAGTGGGAGAAAAGGAGGGATGTTGGGGAAAGGAGGGAAAACGGAGGAAAGGAAGGAAATTGGAGAAACATGGGAAAATTGGAGAAAGAGGGGAATGTTGGAGAAAGGGAGGAAAGTTGGAGAAAAGGAGGAAAAGTAGAGAAGGGGGAAATTGGAGAAAAGGAAGGAAATTGGAGAAAGGAAGGAAATGGGAGGAAAATAGGAAAATTAGAGAATGGGAGGAAAATTGGAGAAAAGGGGGGAGGTTGGAGAAAAGGGGGGAAATTAAGGAAGGGGAGGAAAGGAAAGTTGGAGAAAAGGAGGGAAAATGGAGAAAAGGAGGGAAGACAAAAGGAGGAAAAACAGATAAAAGGAGGAAAAATAGGGGAAAGGAGGAAAACTGGAGAAAGGAAATTGGAGAACAGGGAAATCAGAAAAAGGAGGAACAACGGGGAAAGGAGGAGAACTACAGAATGGGAGGAAAATGGGGGAAAGGGAGGAAAATTAGAGAGGGGAAAGTTGGAGAAAAGGAAAATTGAGGGGAAGAAGGAAAATTAGAGAAAAGGGGGGGAATGGGAAAATCTGAGAAAGGGAGGGAAATCAGAGAAAAAGAGCAAACAGAAAAGAGTGGAAATTGGAGAAAGGAAGGAAAGCTGGAGATGGAGGAGAATTGGAGAAAAGGAGGAAAATTGGAGAAAAGGAAAATCAGGGAAAGGGAGGAAAATTGGAGAAGAGGAAGGGAAATGGAGAAAGGGAACAAAATTGGAGAAAGGAGGAAAAATTGGAGAAAGGGAGAAAAATTGGAGAAAGAGAGAAAAATTGGAGAAAAGGAGGAAAACTGGAGAAAAGCAAAATTAAGGAAAGGGAGGAAAATGGGTGAAAAGGAGGGCAGGTGGGATTGCTGCCCACAAAGCTCCTCACCGCGGCATCACTCCCCGCCGTGGTCTCACCCACCGAAGGCAGCGGTGCCCCCAACCCTGTCATGGCGGGGGGGGTGTCCCCGTGTCCCCTCTGTCCCCACCACGTCCCTGAGGGTTTCTGGGTGCGCACTGCAGGTTCGAGAAGCTGGACATCACCCCCAAGAGCGCCCAGAAGCTCAAACCGGTACTGGAGAAGTGGTTGAGCGAAGCCGAGCTCCGGAACCAAGAGGGTCAACAAAACCTGATGGAATTCGTTGGGGGAGAACCATCCAAAAAACGAAAGCGCCGAACCTCCTTCACCCCCCAAGCCATCGAGGCTCTCAACGCTTACTTCGAGAAGAACGCCTTGCCCACCGGCCAGGAGATCACCGAGATCGCCAAGGAGCTCAACTACGACCGCGAAGTCGTCCGCGTCTGGTTCTGCAACCGC